AGCCTGTGCTGGGAGGCGGTATTGCCCTAAAAGTCCCCGAGGGCTGACAAGCTGGTCCAGGTGGGCAGGTTGCCCTGGCCAGGCCACATTCCACAGGAGCAGTGCCACCTAGAAATCATCGTTCTCTCCCTGGCCAGTGTGCCAGCAGCTGAGCACCCACAGCCTCTCAACAGCGCTCTGGGTCTCTCTGCCAGCCTAGGGGTTACCAGGGCCCCGTGAGCTGCGTGTGCCCCGTATCCCAGGCTCTTGGGAGCCACAGACTGAAGTGCCTTTGGAGTCGAGGGCCGTGGCCCCAGAAAGCCTGCACTGCAGACTTGGGGCTCCTTTGGGGGAGGCGTCCCCGATCGTTTCTGAGGAGAACACCAAGCATGGGCTTCCTGCTCCTTTTAGTTGGAAGGCACTCCTCTCTCCCAGGATCCTTCTGGGAAAGTGAAAACCCTAGAAAAGGATGTTTCCCCCAGCGTCAGGGTAACAGGAGAATAAAGACTGGGGGGAGAGGCGGGAGTCTGTCATGCCTGCTGGGCTCCTCGAGCAGCTTCATTCTTTGGGGCTACAAACACTGCGCCTGCCTGGCTTCTATGGCAGGAGGCTTTTTGTTTAGGGGAGCAACAGCCCAAGTGCCCTTGTGCCCGAGCAGCCGCCTTCCCTCTGGATTCTTGTGCCTCAAGCCTTTGTTGTCTCCAGCTGTGGCCTTGGCGGTGCTGCTGGCAGTGATGGCGGCCGTCCTTCTGGGAGCAATGGTGGTCATCTTTATCAAGATAGCCCGGAAGCACCAGACGAGTGCCTTCAACACGGTGTGGAGCCCCATAGATGACAAGGAGTACTTGGTGAAGAGTGCCTACACCCTCTGAGGAAGCTGAGGGTCCCCCACCCTGCAGGCAGCAGCAGCGATGTCCCTCTCCTGCTTGGCATGTGGTCCTTTCCATGCAAGCTGCCACAAGGGCACAAAAGCCCTCAATGAAGTGTAAATATGAGAAATTGTTGAGTGAGGGGAAGAAGGGAAAGCAAATTGTAGAAAGGCCATGTTTTTGGTGTTTTTATTTCCTCCTTAGTTTTTTAAGTGTGATTGATTTGTGTATGACTTTTGTAATTCCAAGAGGCAAGTGAGCACACTTCCTAGTTTGGTTGGGCAGAGTGGGGGGAGTGGGGGGAGTGGGGTTAGGGGGTAGTTGGGCAAAGGGCATTTTGGCTTAGAAATATTTTTAAAGAAACTAAAACAGATTTTTATTTTAGGATTCTGAAAGGGAGGGGTTAGAGGAAGAACCATGAAAGATTAATAAAAGTGCCTTCTCTTTGAAAATACCTTTCAGCTGATACTGTCTTTCTTGACTACACCTCATGAGTACACCCTTCTGTATTCCTGCCTTCTGTCTGCTACCACCCCACAGAACAGTGCAGGGAAATGTCTTTAGTGTTGAAGGTTAACAGTGCTTTCTTCATACCCTCCTGGTGGTGCAGGCAGCAGACAAACATCCCTTTTTTATAGAAAAGCCCTTGACTTCCGAGCTAGCTCACAGGTGAAATGCCCCCTTTGGGCACCAGCACCCTCAATCCCCTGCCATTGCACAGAACGATTCAGATGCACACAAGCGTCTTAACCAAAGCCATATTATGCTGGTGAGAACTGTGCCGCCATTTCCTTGGGGTCAGCTCCACTGAACAGCCATGCTGATTAAAGGAGTGGCTTCATCTAGTCCAGTCATCCTCGTTTTCTAGATGAGGTCCCTGAGACCCAAAGACAGGAGAGGTCTTGTCCAACATCACGCAGCAAGCCAGAGTTGGAGTGGGCTTCCAGCTCAGATCTGATTCTTTATGCTTCCCCATGCTTGCTTCCCCCAGGCTTCGGCTCTGTTCCCCAAGGTTCTCAGTGGCTCTCTCAGGGTCGTGACGTTGCTCTGACAAAACTTCAATTCTGAAAAGCCCTGGTGAAATGTTCAGACATGGTGCTTTTACCTTGGAAATGACCCATTGTAGTCAGATGTTTGGCACTGACTTCAGGGCTAATCCTGCTGCCTGTTGGGCGTTCATTTCCTGCTTCCTTGTGGGTATTCGTTTAAGAAGCCTCTTCCCTGCCCAAAACAGGTTTGACCTGATAGCAACATCTGAATAAACCCTGAGATCTGGAAACCTTGGGGCCACCACCTGGCTCTCTGCCTCCAAATCCATGGGACGTGGGGCCGGAGGGATGGCAAAGCAAGGCTGGGTGTTGGGCACCCAGACAAGATGGGGGCATTCACTGTGTCACCCTAGCTGAGTCATCAGCCTCTGAGCCTCATTTTCCTCACTCGCACTACCGGCCTTCCCAGGCTGCTAGGAGATGGCATGAGACAGGCAGCAGCCTACAGAGGAAAAATCCTGGATTCTGAGTCAGAGCCCTTATGGATCCCAATTCTGCCCTGGCTCTTATCTGTCACCGGGCAAGTCACTTAACTACCTGTAAAATGGGGTTAGGCCATATGATCTCCAAGGTCCCTTCCAGTCCCTCAACCATGACTATTGTATTTGTGGGTGTCCTGTGAAGACTTGTCCTGACTTACAGCTAGACTTCTCTGTGCCCTCAAAAATCTACTCCAGATGGAAAAGGTCTCAGAGAAGCCCCTTTGGGTGTCAGATTTGATGAGGGGGTGGTGCCCTAGCTGGGCACATCATGGCCCCTCCAGAGGCTCCCCGGGCTTACCATACAACATAGGGCAAGTTGTAGAGCACTTGCCTTGGGAGTACCAGGAGAAGTCCCACCCTCCCTTGGCCTCGCCCAACTCCTGCAGCCCACAGTGCTGCCTGCCCTGAGCTGAACCTGGACGAAGGCCTGGAGCAGACCGCTTGCTTCTAAGGCTCCGTCCTTATTCCATGTGCCCATCCCAGCTCTAGCTAGAGGGGGAAATCCCTGAGGATGAGGGCTGAGCTTTATGCGTCTCCCCAGTCAGGACCTGCCCACAGCTGAGCGGAGTGGGCACTTGGCATTGGTGAGAATGGTGTGGCCATGCTGTTCCTGGGCCAGCAAGGCAACCTCAGCACCTGTTAGCACTGGGGGTGGAGGGTGGGGGTAGGGAAACTGCAGCGAAGGATGCCCCACCCACCTCATCCAGCATCTGCTAAAGGCCTGCTCCAGCGCCACCTCATGGTGGTGTGGAAGTGGTCTGTGCTTCTCGGGCAAATCCAAGCCCCAGATTGTGGGGAACTGCCCCCTGGGAGCCCAGTGCTGGCCACGAGAAAAGGCAGGAGGAATGCAGCTGGAATTTCCCAGGTAAAAGCCATTTCTCAAGTCATAAGTGTAGGGTGCATCCCTAATGGGTCTGCGGTGCTAACGCCAGAGGCTGACAGTGGCCAAGTGTGCCCACCTCCAGTCCTCTGAGTGACATCATGGACAGTGAGGCAGATGTTTGGTTGTTACTATTCTTGCCCCAGCACCCACGCAAGCCAAGAGCTGCCTCCAGGCTTCCACTGGGACTAGCTCCCTCCCCATCCGACTCCTACTCAGGTCACCTACACGAAGCCTGCCCTCGTCACTCCAGGCAGTCGAGGGCCTCTGGATTTGTGAAGGTCCAAAGCACGTAATCACAAACAGTTCAGCACTTGTCTTATCCTACATTAGTGGGGTTCTGTTTTTTTGGAGGCGTCATCTCTAAATTGAGCCCCTCAAGACAATTACAGATTTGCTGAACTAGCAAAGGGAGCTTTAGTCAACCTCTCAGTGGGAACACTATAGCCTCTTTGCCAGTCATTGTTGGTGGATTAAGGCTTATGGGGTGTACTATATTTTCTCTATACTCAGGGCCTCTGAAAATTGGGGGGAGGGAGATGCCTAGAAATTGGTCTCCAACTCACTATCCAGCCTAAAGCCCCAAAGTGGGGAAAAAAAAGTACATGGGATTGTAGAACTTGAGTTGCGAGGGGCCTCTAGTCCAGCCCCCCTCAAGGTTACATAGGTCGTATCAGAGCCGATGCCCTGGAAGTATTCTTTGGAAAGTGAGAGCAGAGTTCTTGCTGGCCCAACTGGGCCTCACTTTCTTTACCACAAGAAAAGGGCAAAGGAGATCTTTGGTCCACCTTCATCACTTTATATGCAAGGTTGGGGGCAGCTAGGTGGCACAGTGGATAAAGCACGGGCCCTGGAGTCAGGAGGACCTGAGTTCAAATACGGCCTCAGACGCTTGACACTTACTAGCTATGTGACCTTGGGCAAGTCACTTAACCCCATTGCCTAGCCAAAAAAAAAACAAAAACAAAAAACCTATAGGCAAGGTCCCTGAAGTTTGGAGACAGGAGGGCCAGTCACCAGCATCTCACAAGAAGTCATCGTTGGAGGTAGCATAAAGCCAGATGTGACTCCCAGTTCAGAGTTCTCCTCACTATACCAGCCCTCAGTCCACCCTCCCTACCTTGGCCCTAGTCCTGTCTTGGAGAGTTGGGGCAGGAGCTCAGCTGCTAGTATGCACACTCTGCTGGTGGATGCCTGTAGGACCCCAACTCAAGGTGTTCTCCCCATGGGGGCAGGGAGGCTTAGGTGACTTGTACATGTCTAGGTTCTACTCCCACTCTGCAATACTGTGATCTGAAGAAACCTTGGTGGAAAGGGGGATGGAAAGCTGGCCACTCCATTCTCGGTGCACTGCCTGGCACTCCCATTGCCATCTTGCTTTGAAACCTGTCCAACTCCAAATTTCAGAGCAACTGGGTTTGCTGTGGCCCTCCCACTTCCAAAAGGAGCCAAGGTGAACAGTGAGAGGGACCTAAGTGGTCATTTAGTCCAGGGAGAAGGCACTTGCTCATGGCCACCCAGGACAAAGTTGGGATTTGAACATGGTTTCTCAACTCCCAATGCTTGCTTTCCACTACACCGTGATATCTAGCCCCTACTCCCCAGGGAGTTTGCTTTGGGAAGAACTGGGGCTGGAAACAGAGGCTAACCGTCTGCCTCCCACCCCCACACCACAACGCCTCTGCACGGCTGGAGTCCATTGGGCAAGGCCACTGACGACTGAAACCCCTCCCTGGCCCACTCAGAGTTCAGCAATCCGTCCCTCCCTTCCTGTTCAGACACACCCTCCATCTGCCAGCCATGGAGTTCGACCTTTCTGCAGGTAAGGGCTCTCTCTTCCCAGCAAGGTAAGAGGTGGGAGAAGGGCTACTGAGCTCAGTATAGCAAAATACACCCCTCAGACTGGCTGTTTACTACTGCGTGACACAGGCAAGCCCTTTATTCCCTCTCTCACTCGGTGAAACGAGGATGGCTTAGATTAGGTGATGACCAGCCTTCTCTAAACACCGATCCTTAGGAGGAGGAAGCAGCTGTTGAAGGAGGGACTGAAAGTGGCAACTTGAGGTGGGGGCAGGGCTAGAGATGAGACCTGAGTTTGGGCTGAACATGCTGGGGAAACGAAGACCCCCTGGATCCCCTTCAGAGTTTTGGCAAACAGCCTCAGCATGAGATGGGAGAGGATGGGCCAGGTGGGGTCCTCAAGTGACCCGCATATTCATATCCCATCCCAACCCAGGGGATGCTCACAAGAAACTCTCTGTGCTTGGGGCTGTCAGTGAGGTTGGTCGGGCTCCCCAACCAAGCTATTCTGGTCACAATGAGGTCCCTGTTGTCTGCCTCCATGGGCTAAGAGGAAGAGGCCAGGGCTGAGGACCTGAGGATAGACAAACTCTTTTTTATCACGGGCAGCCCTAGGTGCTGATTCCAAGAAGACTGAAAAAGGTGGTCTGCCTGCCAACCCCCCACACGGCCCCCCCAAGCCTCAGGCACTCGGACAGGGGATTTCTAAGAAGGCCAAGGTAAGAGAGTAGCTTCTCAAGGGGCCCAAGCCTCTTGGCCACAGAAGCAGCCGATGGCCAACGGGGCTGAGGGACTTTCTTCTTGTGCCACAGGCTGGGCATGGCAAATCCTCAGATTCCAGCAGCAGCAGCAGCAGCAGCTCCAGCGATTCTGACACAGATGGGAAGGTAAGGCGCTAGCCCCATCTCCTGGTGACCATCAGGTTACCAAAGGATACTGAGATACCTCCAGGAACCCAAGAGCCGAGTGTAAAGAAGGTGCTGGGTCTGGGAGGGAGGGCGCCCAGAAGAAATGGACTTAATATTGCTCGACAAACCCTGACCTTCTCAGATTGGCCTTGGAGCCCCAGGAGGAGAGAGGGTGAGGGACCAGCAGCCTGACTCAGTTGGCCTGGCCAGGGAGGTTCAAGCAGCCAGAACTACTTCCTACAGAGGTCTCACTGTTTTTCCCTCCATACTATTATCCAGCCTCCGGGGCCTGGCCAGGGCCCCCAGAAGGAGAAGAAACTGAAGAAGGTGAAGGAGACCAAGGAAAAAGGGGAGAAGGAAAAAGGGAAGAAGGAAAAAAGGAAGAAGGGGGAGAAGGGATCGGCCCCCTGAAAGCAGCCTGGGTCTGCATTAAACAGGCCTTGGAGATGAAGCCTCTGCCACCCCAATGTGTGACCGCCCACACCCAGCCAATAAAGGGCAGGGACCACTCAGCAGCACCCCGAGGGGGTTTATTTCTCCTTGTAACAAGACACTATGGGCGGCAGCCCCAGCTTGGAGCATGCTGTGCAGTTAGAGATCTCTAAGCACCTTGCAGGATGGGGATTGGGAGAGGGGGAGGAGGAGATGGGGAGGGGGATGGGCTCTTTCCTAGGGCGGGGTTTGGGACTGGGCTCAAACATAACAGGCAAGGAGGAGATGAATCTGTGGAGAAGGCAGGGCAGGTTCCAGTCAAAGGGCCAGGGACTTCTTGGGGAGAGGGACAGTGGGCCCGGCAACTGCATCCAGAGCAACGGACCCGACCCCGCCAGGGCTCCGCTTCCTGCTTCTCGTGTTCCCAGGGCTCAGCAGCCTGGTCCTCCGGGCCTGAGCAGCCTCCTGGGCCCTCACCTGACCAGGTGAAAGGTGAGCCAGTACATGAAGAGGGGTTGGGCGGCGGCAATGGCCATGGTCAGGTACATGCGCAGCTGGTTCCGCGCCCCACGGACCAGGACGCCTTCAGCTGCCACCTCGGAGAGGATTTTCAGTCGAAGGGTCCGGATCTGGGGAGCAGGGGAGCGAGGAAGAGGAGGGGGCTGGAGCCCACGCGCCACTCTGGGCTCCCGAGGGGGACGACATTCTTGGGGACCCCTTAGAGATCTTTGTTCGGGGGCATCTACCGAGGCCGCTCTGGCCCCAAGCATCAGGGGGAGCGATGCCTGGGCGGGGTTCTGGTGCCGACTGTCCCCTCCCCCCCGGGATACCCCAACCCACGCTCACCATGAAGACGAAGATGGCCACACAACACCAGCCGAGCACCAGGTAGTAGCCAGTCCTCCCGAAGAGCAGGCCGGTCACGACCCCACCAATCATCCTGGAGGCAGAGCCAGGCCAGGAGCTCACCGCAGGCCGGGCACCCAGACGCCACCTCCGTGGCCAGCCCCGTTCCATCCAGACTTACGCTCCTGGGAGGCCTCGGGTGACCCCCGAGGAGACGCCCAATCCACACTGCCCCACTCACCCCACATACTTGTACCCCGAGAAGGCCAGCAGGTCAATGGTGGTGAGGTCTGTGTTGACAGTGACCAGGTAAAGGCTGAGCAGGATGGCCAGCACCTCCACTGTGAGCCAGGCCAGGGCAGAGCTAGCCTGCAGACCCAGGAGGTCTGGGGAGAACCTGAGGGGAGGTGTGGCTGAGGGCCTGAGCCTGGGGGGCTGGCTCTCCAAGGCCCTGCCCACGCCCGCCTCTCCCACCCCAGCCCCAGCGTCCTCTCACCTGTCCTGAGTCCCCAGCGCCAGGCCAGCAACCAGGATGTATGTGATGAAAGCCATAGCTGCAAATGAGTCAAGGGGAGACATGGGGAGAGCTTGGAAATCCCGCTGGGGGACCCAACACGGAGCTGGGATCCCCCCGGCCAGGGGGCAAGGGAAAGGAGCTGGGCCTTGGCTGCGAGGGGCAGCTGTGGGCCTGGGGGGTGGGGCTGCTGGGAGGTACCTGGAATGTAGAGATCTGGGGCGTTGATGTCGAACCTCGGGGCCACTGGCACGTCCTGCTGGTACTGTACCTCCCAATCCTGCAGACACACAGAGCCTGAGGTGAGGCCGGGCCGGCCCCAAGGCTCCTGACCACCCCAAGCCCAGGCTGGGAGCCCCCAGCTGAAGGTGGGTGTTGGAGCGCCCCCACACAGTGGCTCTCACCTGGTGCAGATAGGGAAACACCAAGAGCCCCAGTTTCTTTCCCACATACACGGTGTCCACAGCAAAGTAATACTTGAGCTTGGTGACAGGAATGAAGCGGTCAATCTGAGGAGGCAGGACAGGCCCGATGCAGCAGGGTGGCAGCCCCCAACCCCACCCCCACCCCGAAGCTCTGTCCACTTACATTCCTGTCCACCAGCTCCTTGCCATGGGCAGCCAGGCTGCTCCCATAGGCTACCGCCATGTTGGACACAGGGTCAGCGAGGAAGGCCGGCTGTGACGGGGAGGCATAGCCCAGGCCCCCGGGGGTCCGGTGGACCGGATAGCCCCCTGGTCCGTGGGCCGAGCTGGTGTCATGGAAGAGCTGGTGGGGGTCGGCCAAGCTGGGCTCTGCCACGGGCACCCTCCTCTTCATGGCTGCCAAAGGGAAGCCACAGCATCACAGATTTAGAGTGGAAGGGCACCTTACAGAGGAGGAAACTGAGGCCATCGAGTGCCCGGGTCATGATTATAGAGCTGCCGGGCCAGGAGCTGACTCCAAAGCCAACACTCCCTCCATGGAACCAGATGGGAGGTCCGCTGAGAATAGGGCGATGAATCCAGAGTCAGGAAGATCCGAGTTCAAATCCAGCCTCAAACGCCTCCAAGCTGTGTGACCCTGGGCAAGTCACTTTACCTCTATTTGCCTCAGTACCCACCTGGAAGATTACTGTGTGAGTCACATGAGATACTAATTGGCAGTGCTTAGCCCAGTCCCTGGCACACAGCGAAGGCAGGCTGCTAGTATTACTACTATTGTCAAGTGAGATAATAGTGGTAAACCTCAGCACACAACAGGCGCTACATAAATGCTAACAGCGCCCCCCCCCATTTCCCACTCACCTAGAAGCAACTATAATCTCCCTGCAGGGGGTAGGGGGTTCCCGCCTACAGGTGGGGAAACTGAGTCCAGGGCCCAGAAAAAGGCTCCGAAGGCCGAGCGCTGGAAGGGCTGGGTCCATTGCCCGGGCGGACAAACCGAGGCCGTGGGGGAGGGGAGCTTTCCAGCGCCTCCCCGGCGCGGGTTCTCTCCCTGCCTCAGTTTTTCTCTCTGCAGCGCCCAAGGAGGGCAGCTGGGGCTGGCGGAGGCCCAGCGCGGGGGCAGGGGGGGTTCTAGGTGTCCCGTTCTAGGCGCCCGAGCATCCAAGCCCTGCCCCCGCGCCCACCCGACCCCAACGGCCGCCGCCTCCCCCAGCCCGGCCCGCGGTCCTCCCGGCCCGACCCGGCCCGGCTGGCCACGTACGCCACTTACGGTGCCGGGCGCTCCCCGCCGCCGCGCCGCCGCCGCCGGGGCCCGGCTGCATCCCGGAGCAAGAGAGCCGACCCGGCCTCGATGGACGCCAAAAAGGACCGCGCGGCCCCCGTACCGCGCCCGTCTGCGGCGTCGCGGGCCAATTGGAGGCCGGAGCCCTGGGCCGGCCCGCCCCTCTGGCGGGCAGTGGCCAATAGAAGGCCCGAGCCTCTTCCAGGGCCCTCCCCCTCCCGCCGAGACCCGGGGCGGGCGGGGGGGGACGTGGCTCCGAGTGGGCGGAAGAAGGACCAGATAGAAGCCCCGGAGAAGAAGGGGGCATCTGCAGCAGGTGAGGAGCATTCTGGGCGAAGCTGGGCGCGGGGCACTCTGGGAGTTGTAGTTTTTGCCGTCGCTCTCCACTGTTCTCATTCATTCATTCAGTCAGTCATTCAGTCATTCATTCAGTCATTCTGTCATTCAGTCAATCCACAAAGCAGGCAGGAGGCAAAGTAACCGAGGGAAGGAGAGCTGGTGTAGGAGTCGGAAAGAGTAGGGTTTAAGCCCGTTCTCTGACCTAGCCTGGCTGTGTGACCCTAGATAAAGCATTTAACATCTCAAGGCCTCTGGCAACTGGGAATTGCAGAAGAAAACCCGTGCATTGGTAGAAAGCAAGTCCTACCTGGGAATGCCAATAAAAAAGGCAGAACTCAGGGAAATTTGGAAGATGCCGTATGCTAGGTGCTGGGGAAATAAGAACAAATTAATAACGATGATAAAACAATATAAAATAAATAATAAAATACCCAAAATAAAGTGGAAAATAATAAAAACTAATGATAATAGCTAGCATTTTTATAGCGTTTTAAGGTTTGTAAAGAATTTTACATAGGTTAATTGATTTGACCAGATCTTCCTGACTCCAGGCCTGGGTGTTCTATCTACTTTACTACCTAGTTACATTTATTAAATGTTTCTTTACCCATTGAACACCCACAATTAGGTAGTGTTATATGACTAATAGATCTAGCAAAGCCAGTGGAGAAACTATGGTTTGTCAGATAGGAAGAGAGTCTTGTAATTACAGATGAGAAACTTATCTAGGAGAGAATAATCAATAGTATAAAATGCAGCAGATCAGTTGAAAAGGACTGAGGCAAGCCTCTCCGATTTACAGATCACTGGTATTTTGAGAGAAAAGTTTCAGATGAATGAGGTCAGAAACCAGAAAGCCACATTGCAAAAGACTGAAGATGAGTCAAGGTGGAGGCAGTGAGCAAGGAGACTTTTTAAAGGAATTTGGCTGAGAGAGGAGAGACCTACAATAATAAAGAGTCTAATGAAGGTGTTTTTTGTTTGTATTTTAGTGGTTAGGCAGTCTTGGACAGGTTGAAGGCAATAGGGAAGGAATCTGTGGCTAGGGGAATAATTGAGGATGCAATTTCCTGGAGAAGACTGTAAGGGATAGGATCAATAGCATAAATCGAGGGTTTGGTCTTGCCAAGAAGGGCCACCTCTTCATCAGAGACTGGGGAAGAGAAGAAGAAAGTTGTGCCAAGGAATCTTGAGATGAAGAGAATGGGAGAAGGTGCTCCATTCAACTGGCCTCATTTTTCTCAGTAAAGCTTCATCTAAATTCCAGGGATGAGGGAGTTCCTGGAGGCTTGAGGAGAGAAGACAAGGCTTAGGAAGGCTTCTATGGGGAGTGAGATAGGGAATTAATTAGGAAGGAATAATAGAATTCCCTTGTTGCCTTGAATACAAGGAGACCAATTAGAACTCAGGAATTCAGGTGAGAGGCAATGAGGACCTTAATTAGAGCCGTGTCTATGTGAATCGAGATGGGATAAATGTTGTGGAAACAGAATGAACAGGTCTCGGTCACTAATCTGTTGTGGAAACAGAATGAACAGGTCTCGGTCACTAATCTGATGTGTGGGGAGAAGGGGAATGAACAGCAGACGGTGATGCTAATGTTGTAAACCTGTATAATCACCAGAGGGATTGCATTGGCGGTCCCCATGCCTGAAACAGGATATGGAAGTCAAG